CCCACGCCCAATGCGAGATCTATGGCTCCAGCTTTTGACATCTCTGGCAGAGTTCAGCAGAAACTTGAAAAGATCAAGCAAGAAGCATCAGAATCATCGATGATTTAAATTGAAAAGCATAAAATAGTTTACGAAAAGAATGCAGGCTTTATCTCACGTCAAAAGAACAATGTGAATCTGGAGCTGAAAAGGTTGGGAGAGAATGAGAGAGAGAAAACTCGGAGAGAAGGGTAGAGAGAGGTGTGTGGGAAAGCCGCTGAGTTGAAAAGAAGGCGGAATGCTGGGGGGAGAGAGGGAGACTGTGGGGCGCGCGCGCGTTCGTGTGTGCGTGTGTGTGTTGTAAAGGTATTAGCTGTCATGTGTGCTTTGTGATTGGGAGAAATTTTGAAGACTGAAGAGTCAGAAGGAGACTGTAACGCCTCTCATTGCGGTGACCGGCTGCGTCATTTTGGCATTTTGGGTGTCGATTCTGAGTACTCACTTCCCTGTAGCTTCCTTCCAAAGTTAGACTCTAAGCTTGTAAACAGTAACGGCAAGGCTAACCGTTTAAAGTTTAATTAGTTAAAAATATTATTTTTATTTCAGGCCAAAAAAAAAATATTTTATATTCTTTATATTATATTAATATTAAAAAAAATCAAACTTTTATGAATTGTTTTATCAAATTTGCAATTAATTTTTTTAAATAATGTGAAAAATAACTGAATTGGATAACTATATTTTTATTCGTAAATATCATGTTATTGTAAAAATTAATGGAATATAAAAATGCAATCTAAAATATAATGATATATTATCTTGGATGCCTTTACAAACTCATTTACGTTAAACCAATTTCAGCAAATAGACACAAATAAATCTCAAATTAGCCTGCCAAGTTTGTCAAGAAGCGACTTAGCAATATAAAATAATCAGGACCGCTTGAGGTCAGACCCATGTTCATTTTTCGTCCAATATATATTAAATCGTGAAAGTAAACAAATATTCCGACGGCTTATTAACAACATTAATTGATAATTAATAAAATGTGTGCAAAAACAATTATTGTCCAAATAGAAATGGCAAATAATTAATTAAGGCAGGCTCATAGCCTCATACTCATATATTATATGGTGTCCAACTGGTTATCCTTTTGCATGTTGGCCTTACTTTATTATCTTTTACTCTTTGCCTCTATAGTATCTATTTGGTTTTATGCTGCTTTTGAGAAGAGACTTTTTAAACCGGTTAATCCAAGAAGTGGTGTAGAAAGATAAATTTTTGGATAAATTCAATAATTTAATTTATGTCATGCAATTTTTTTGTGCTAATCACAAGTATCAAAATAATCCTGTTTGAGATACTATTTGATACTAAATGTCAGATAATTAAGCAAATGAAGATGGAAGACTAGAACAATAATCAATCCAAAACCCATCAACAATTAGCCCAAACAATCCATTAAAGATCCAACGCTATAAGAAGGCAATAATTCTAAACTACAATTCAACCTTCCTCAATGTCTTTTTTTTTTTTTATAGAAGAGAGGCATTAAAGACTTGAAATTATAAGTAAAACCAAACCTCGACCTTTCACTTGTATAAAAGGTTTTTGGCCCTACAAATGCCTTTTGTGGTCATCTGAATCAGCAGACTTTCTTGCCAAAAAGAAAAACATTGGCGTAAAGATCTCTTTCCTGAAATAATCAGTCATCTATATAATTAATTTCCTCAGGGCTTTTAATTAAAGATACATTCTACTGTCAAATTATCAGAAAAATACATTACTAGTAGGAAAGATAAAGTTGGTTAATGCATATACATTTTTTCAATTTTCTAAGAGGGTTTTTAATTTGTTCGAGAAGTAAACTTATGCTTCTGCATATATCTAAAATTAAAAATAGATGGAAGGAATAAGACTTACTTTCCACCTTGAACTAGTCCTTTTGTGACCCTTTCTATAAAATCTTGAACCTTGTCACTTCCTTTGGGAGCCAGTCCAACAAGCTCAAGAGCCTTAACCTACAATTTGAACCAGTCAACGATACACATAAACTAAAAATTTGAATTTTCAGTTGAAACTATATATATTACTTGAAATATAAATAAAAATAGCATTGGTATTCAGTTAACCTTACCATGTTTCTGTTGAGAAGTCCAACAATATTTCTACTCGGAGAGTAATTACTTTTGTCCATAGGAAAATACCAAGGAATAGGAGAGTCCTCTGCTATATTTTTGCTCCATATGACCTTTGCATACAAAATAAATAAATTAAAAAAAAGTTACTTCGGTTGTTTATTAAAAGCTCAAATAACGAAATCAATAATAAAAGGTTTAACCAATAAAGATTAGTCTAATTGATAAGATTTTGACCCACAACCCATAAATATGTGATCTCTCATTATTTATATGAGGATCTTGTTTGAGGAGAAACATTTAAGTATCTTTACAATTGTTTTTTAAACTCAGAGAAATGTTTTTTAAGCCTTGATGAATCTTATGATTCAACTCAATTAAACTTTTAATTACTAAAGAAAAAAACTAGTGAAAGATTAAGAGATTGAAACCTCAAAACCTGCTTCCTTCAAAGCTTCAAGAACCTTTGTAGTCGATCTGATGTCAACTAGGCCACCACCAAGCAAAAGTTCTGCCTGTATCAATCAACGTGATGTATGGAATTACAACTCAAGGTGAGGCTTTCAAGAGGAGAAAATTTTTAGAGAAATTTTTATTGGGTGTTTGATTTAGACTATTTTAAGTGATTTTGTGCTATACAAGCTAAATAGTTTTATCTTGTAAGGTATAAAACTGACTTTTTTGAGGGGACGTCAAAGATTTATAAATAAAGGTCCAGTTTGGTACAAAATATTATAAATGGAATGTAGGAATTGGAATTATGATTGAAAAAATTTATTAGAAAAAAAATTTAGTATAAGAGATTGTTTGTTATATGGGATTGAACAAACCCATGTACGTGGGATGGTATTCCTGAATCCCATATTTATGGATTTGTCTAATCCTAGGTAACAAGTAAATACTCACGCTAAATACTCTTTTAATGATTTTTCTCAATTTCAATTTCAATATCTATTTCTCATTTTTAATGCTTTGTATCAAATTGGACCAAAATATAAGTACATAGGCCAAATAAAAATTGTAGTATGATAATGTCAATCTAAATTGTTTCAATGCCTCTATATTAGTATATATATATACCTTTATCTTTTGATGCTCTGGGTTGGTAGGATCAAAGGAAGTAGTCATGCTGGATTCGTATGCAGCAAAACATTGACCAGGCTTCAACACTCTATGAATCTCTTTATAGCATTCATAGTGATGAACAAATCAGAAATAAGTGTTAGACCAAGGAGGAAAAAAAACAAAAACTATAGAGTTGGTCCGTACAGTATGAGCATCTGTAAGCGCTTAGTCAGAAAATCATAGACATTGACATAAATGAAGCTGCATCACAAAAATCTAAAAATGTCCAGACCTATTTATAAGATACAAATGATGATTGTAATTTCTTATAAAAAGACTCGAGAGGAACATGAAGGTGAGTCTCGACATAGTATGCCTCTGTCCTTCTTTAGACCCTATTTGATGGGAGCCTTGTGCATTCAGCTACCCTTATTAAAGGCTTTTGAAGGTACCGTGACAAGGGAGAAAAAGTTCTAGACACTTTTGTTCCGTTACTAGTCACAGAATAGAGAGAGAGAGAGTAAAAAGGTCACGTACAGCATCTGGTGCATGAACGGTAGCTTCAATTGCATAGACAGCATCAGAAGTATTGTCTGGAAATGGTATGTTCATAAAGTCACCCTCCACAAACAAATTAATAATCAGAGCAGTGAAAGTCTATTCACATAAGATGAATAATCAGAGTAGAACAATATCATACAGAATCAGAATCGAGCCCATTTGTTCTGAAAAAATTAGACAGACAACACTTGAAAAACCGAAGAAGCAAAACACATTAACCTGCACAAAGTTGCAAATCTTGTCCGTGCCATGTAAGCGATTAAGTTCCTGTAAGCCAAAAAAGCAAAATGGTTTTAAGTGGACAAAACCTGCTTGATTACTTCAAAAACTTCATTGCAGATAAATATGCTCAAACCAGTGTATTAATGATTAGGGAAGGAAACAGTATGAAACACTCTGCAAGAGAACCAGATTAATTTAATGATTAAATAAAAATGTCAAAGTTGTTGTATCAATCAAATTACCATAAAAACACATGCCTTTGCTCTGTTTATTTGGTACTCATTATTGTTCAACCCTGTGACTGATGTCTTGCTGCAAACACTCCAATACATATATTCATAAAATCTTTTAGGAGATTGATCCGGGATTTCAAAACTTTTTTTATGGGAAATTTTCCTGGCTAAAAATTTCAAGTCTGGCTGTGTTCACCTGAAACGAGAGATTTCTATTGCTGGTCCCCCAATTCCACATCCAACATCTAAAACCTAAAATCGAACCAAACAAGGAAAAAAAGACTCATGAATTTTAATTTCTTAAACAAAAACATTACTACCTCGAGTGCTTAATATAAGAGTTAGTTTAACTTTTAATTTGGTCTCAAATATAATGTCCCAATTCACTTTGTCTCTCATGTTTATTCCTTTTTTTAAAATAATCCTTGTAATAATTACACACGTTAAATATTTCATCAAATGGTAGTTCTAACTAATGCGCATTATTATTAAGGGTATTCTAGAAAAGATAACACGTAGTATTTATTATAAACTAACTCAACAAATTTTTTTTAATCTACTCAAATTAGTCAAATAGCTCTTATAAGCATTAAGGACCGGATATAATAAGTAGTGTTATTAATTTGCTGTGTTAGGTTGAAGATGATACGAGAAACCTTTTGTCCAGGCTCGAGGCCAAGTTGGAGAGCAATGAAGTGCTCATGTCGCTTTATGCTCTCTCTAAATGTTTCCCCTTTCCATCTAAAGTCATTAGAACCAAATTGGTCGATAAAGCATAAGCCTCATCAAAAAGTAGCAAAAATTGTTGTATTATATTTTTTTAATTAATTAAATGAGGGAATTAATTAGTGGATAGTATGTACCTTGATGCAAAATGTAAGGATTCTCCCCAGCGAGATTCATAAGTGCGAGTGACCACATGATATGTCATTGTGTGTGTGTGTGTGTGTGTGTGTTGTTTTCACATTTAATCATTCGTTCAAAAATGCGATTTAAATATAGGGAAAATGATATATCATCGAAAAGAATCCCTAGGATATTACACCATAATTATTTTTTCTGAAGAAACAAATATGCAAGTTTTTATAATTTTATTTTAATTAGATTTCAGTAGTTTTTTAATCATGTCTTTATAGTTTTACCTAATTTTAATTAGATCTTTATGTTTTTTTTTTCTTTTCTATGAATCACCTCAAAGTTTGCAGACCTGAGTAAAAATTAGATAAAATTATAAGAATTTGTGAAAAAGAAAAGCAAACTACAATGGTAAATTATGATGACCTAATAAAAAGAAGGAAAAAAACAATAAAACTCTTATTAAAAATCAAGTAAAGCTATAAGGATTTGTAGATTGATTTTTCTATTTTTTTTCCTCAATTAAGAATATTCTCCTATTGGTACTATTTCAGCTGATGATCAAAAAAGCGACTTCCCTCCATGAAATGTAATTGACTTTTAAATGGTTTTGCTTCGCATGAAATAAATATATAAGAAAAGTTTTGTATATAAAATTTTTCCCCCAAAAAGTAATTATGTAATTTCAAGAACATCAAGCTCATCCAAATATTAAACACAAATAAGTTGGAACTATATATAGGTTCATTGCTAGAAAAACAAGAACTTTGATTACTTAGCCTGGGTGTCTCCCACCTTATCACAGTACTCCTCCGGTCCTTAATATAGGACCTAATTCTTGAGTTAGTTTTGGTTCTAAATATAAGACCCATTTCTCATATTTATCAATTTTCTCTAAATTACCCCTATAGATACTCCCTCAACCATAATCAAATAGAAGAAGGAGGGGGGTATTAAAAAAGATGATTGTGGTGTTTTAGGAAAAATATGTCACTTTTCTTATAATTAACTAACTTACCTAACTTCCTTAATTTAATCAAATTAGTTAAATGGGTCTTATATTAAGGACCGGAGGAGTAGTTAGACTTCCTCTCTTCTTCTTCTTCTTTGCCTTCAGAACTGCAACCATACTTCTGATACCTAAATCAAACATTTGATCATCCAATAGTGTGAACAACATCAATAACCAAAAATACCAAATCATTCTGCGCTTATCACTATGTTATAAGTCATTAATTTGTTTGATGTTAGCCTAAAAGACCATCTGAATGACTCAGTAGTCCAAGTTTGAAGTTATTTGCAACTAAAAACTTATTAGTATGTTATAAAAATATCCACCAGTTTCAGCACGAGATATTCATCACTTATCATTCAAATCAACATAATACATATCCATTGATGAAACTTTTTTTTTTTTCCTGTTTAAACATTAAGAAAGCTGAAAGTAGAATCCAGAGGTAAAGAAAAAACAGAGATTTATACTCCTCAACAGCAGACACAACTTCACCAGCTTTGGACATCTCTGACTAGAGTTCAGCTGAAACTTGCAAAGACCAAACAAAAAGAATCAGAATCATCGATTATACGTAAATAAGTTGAAAAGGATAAGATAGTTTACGAGGAGTATGCATGGTTTATCTTACATGGAAAGAACAATGTGTGGATCTGGTGGTGGAAAGGTAGAGAGAGAATGAGAGTAGAACAAAATAGAAGAACAGAAAGAAGAGCATAAAAGAGGGAAAGAGAAAGCAGCTTAGTGGTCTTTTTGTTGCTTGGTGGTATGAAAATTAAATTTCTTCTCAGAAATCTTACGGGTTTAATCCCACTTATAACTTTAATCAGTTAATATTCTTTAATTAAATTAAAAAAAAGAAAGGCAGAAGGGATCAGAGAAGGTAGAGTAGTTGTATCAATTATATTATCATTAATCATTGATTGATTTATATGATCAAAATCTCGTATCAGCGAATTGGTTGGTCTAATGTGTCTTTTTTTTTTTTTGAAAAAAAGAATAATATATTAACAAATAAACAAAATGTTAAAAAAAATTTATTGTATAGGATTCCTGAATTATGCCAGGGAAGGGTGGGAAACAACTTAAAAAGATTAAAGTAATGGATTCGGAATCTGTCAAGAAGTGATCTGCCTGGAAAATAAATTTTCTTTTTATAACAAAACTATAAATATAAGATATTTCCCAATTAATTTACACGCATTCATTAAAACTAATTAAAAATTTGAAAGTTGCCATAAAATTTAAATAATGTTTAATATTATCTTTATTAATTATATTAATTCTCATGTCACATTAATTTTTATTTTCTTTCCCCACTCTTATTGTAACATCCTATTTTAGAAACTTTCATTACACACATTTCTTTTTCTTCTAGTTGTTGAATTCAGTTTTCGTGATTTCAAGTTGATAAAACTTGATCCTGTTTTAATATAATATTACCTCCGATTCTATTTTTAAAATCTTATTTGTAGACTTCAAATAAAATCTTATAATCAAGACCGGAGGTAGTATTTGAAAAATGAGATTCATATGAATCTCAATAACAAATAGAAGTTATAATAAATTATACAGACGATCATTTATAGTAACCACGTTGAAATGTGTATTCCATATAGGAATACTCATAATAATTATAACTGTGTTTAAAGTTTAAACCATGACACCTATAATTTATTAAGGAAAAATCTGGAAATACAAAATGGTAAATTTTTTAACCTCCGCTCTCTTCCTTCTCATCTCCTTCTTGTACAATCAATCGCCACACTCCCTCATGTGACAAATAATATTGATTTATACTTCCGGATTTCATTTATTGCTTCAATATTTCCCATACATTGCCCTCCCATTAGTTGTGTCCGATTTCAGTGCTCATCGTATTGATAAGTGTTATGTTCCTCATAGTTGCTGTGAGATATGTATTGCTTAAATACAGTTTCAACTTTCAACTACTCATGTGTAAAATTTTCAACTAACAATTTTGAATAAAAAAATATTTTTTAAAAAAAATTGATAGTTAAAAGATTATTTTCATTTTAGAATTTTTACACATTTAAATATTTTTTAAGAAATAAAAACTAAAATTCAATCTCAGCTATTCAAATTAATAGAAAAACTCATTCCCTCATAGAACACAAAACTATAATGATCATTCTTTCTGTCCATCACTTGTCTCAATGTAGTAAAACCTAATCCTTTCCTTGGCACAATTGTGAGCTTGGAAGCACATGGAGGTGACACCTAAGGCTTATTTGCCTCTTCCTTCCGGACGCGGCTTCTCTCCTTTTCCCTTACCATCCGCTGCCCTCCTCTACCCTCAAAGCTGCAGCGTTTTGAGTGAAAAACAAGAGAGAGTGAGAGCTTTTCTATAAAAAAAAAAAATTCAGTACTCTAAAATATTTTTTCAGTATCATTAAGTATCCTAAATTAATTTTTAATGCATTTATCACTCTATAATATTTGTTAATAGTACTCAACATCTAACTCTCAGTGTCCTAAAATATTTTTTAATAGCATCCAATATCCTAAAATCTTTTTAGTAATACCTAGTATCTGACATCCATCATATTAAGATATTTTTCTAATAACACCCAATATCATAAATTAATTTTTAGTATATCTAACGCCCTAAAATATTTTTTAATAGTATTTAGTATCTTGAAATAATTTTTCATATAATATTTTATGGTCACTAAAATTTAGTTCAAGATACTTGGTACTACTAAAAAAACACCGCAGCATGTTGGATGTTGTATATTACTTAAAAAAATATTTTAGCCTGCTAAGTGGATCAAAAATTATTTTACAATACTAAGTGCTATTAAGAAATATCTTAAAATGCTGAGTGTTAAATATTGGGTGCTATTAAAAAAATATTTTACCTTACTAAGTGCATTAACAATTAATTTAGGATAGAAAATGACACTGAAAAAATATTTTAAAGTATTAGATATTTTTTTTAAATTAAAAAAGCCCTCTCCCTCCCTTGCTCTCACTCAAAACGCTGCAGCTTTGAGGGTAGAGGAGGGCAGCGGATGGTAAGGAAAAAGGAGAGAAGCCGCGTCCCTTCCTTTTAGGAATCCTCTTATTAATCATTAGACTCAACTTCCCTTAATTCCTTGTCCAACTATTTGGACCCATGCAATAAGTTTTTGCCTTCTCGGAAGCGCCTTTTTTTTTTTTTATATAGCTGTGTTGATTTTATGGGTTAGTTCGTGGGCCGTCCAATAAAGTGTGGCCAATTATTGTTATGCCTGCAACAAACGAGTTAGGAAACAACCAACAGAAGTTGTGTCTAATAAAAAAAATTAATTTCTCACAACATGACAAATTAAATATAAAATTTTTATTGAGAGAAATATTTATATTTAGTATCTGACGGCATTTTAAATAGGATTGCTTCTAAAAAAAGATTATAGCAAAAAAAAAAAAAAGGTATTAGAATCCATTTGTCTATTTGGAGAAGATAAAAAGCAAATAAACTAATTCGGATTTAAGACCATATATGAGAATTTAAAATGCTGATATGGCGTGGCAGCCAATATCGCCTTGCCATGTCACTAGGTTGATGTGAAAGTATATTACTGCGACACATTAGTAGCATTGCTGTAGATATTACTACCTTTGATCCTTAATATAAGAGTTAATTTAACTTTTAATGTAGTTCTAAATATAAGACCATAATACACTTTGTTTCTAATATTTATCCATTTTTTAATGTAGTTCTTGTAATAGTTACACATGTTAAATATTCAATCAAATGATAGATTTAACTAATATATGATTAGTAAGGATATTTTAGAAAAAAAACAACACCTAATTATTACAAATAACTAACTTAAAAAACTTTCTTAATCTATTTAAATTAGTCAACTAACTTTTATATTAAGAACCGGAGATAGTATTATTTTTTGAATTAAAAGAAGAGATGTTAAGAAGATTATGAATATTCTCAAAAAATTCTATACAAATATTTGTTAATTACAACATGTTAAAATATGTCTTATTTACTAATCTGCCACTCATTATAATAAATTCTTACTTTATTTAGATATTATGATTGTTGCATAAATCCTATTCTAATATGATTAAAATCATGCCACTTGCATCACATGATAAAAAAAAATTTAAAGGTATATATTTTTCAAAGTTTTTTAAACCAATGTTTGAGTTTAAAGACAACTAAATGAATAGTTTTAAGAAATATTTTCAAAAATATTAAAATTATTAAATTAATCAAATTTATATATTTTAAAAGTATCTTTAAATGCATATTTTTCATGATATAATTTGATTAATTACAAATTAAAAAGAGAAAGTGGGGTGGACTGGTAAGAGATGGAAAGAGCAACGGTGGCGGGAATAAGATGCGGTTTGACTGACGCGCGCCAGCAAGAAGTTCCTCGACGCGCCAGACTCGTCGCGTTTGAAATTGGGGAATTGGAAAATTGAAAAATCCTATTACAGCATTACATCGCTCCATCTCGGTGATAGCTGTGCGTGGTATCAGCCGCCTTTGACAGTGAGTTCCTTTCTTTTTCTCGAATCTTTCTTAACTCCTGAAAAATTGATTGAAGAATTGGTGAAGAGGGGGAATTCATGAATTTGATTGTTTGCTTGGTTAATGGGAAAATTTAGACAATTTGTTTTCGGATTCAATTGAAGTAAAATTTTGTTTATGTAATTTGCAAGGTCAATACGATTGGCTGTGGTTTTCTACTCTTTCTCTTTTACTGATAGGTTTTGGCTAGTTATTCTTTTCTTTGGATTGGTTCTGTCCGACTATTGTTTATTTCTTTCGCAGCTCTTAGAATATTGAACTAGGAGTTTTGGGATCAACATTTCATGCATTGCATTCTTAGAGAAATGAACCAAGTTTTAGCTGAGACTGAGTCCATTTACCTGACTTTGGGAACCATTTTAGGTTAAAGCATTACCTTCCTGGATTATGCGCCACTCATTGACGATGTTGCTATAATGCGTGGCTGCTTTTAGCTAGGAAACTGCTTATTGTTTGCTATCAGTATAATTTGAAGCAGGAATAGTTCATCATTATCATCACTATCACTACCAGAGTGCTAAAATCATACTAATTGGGTTGCAAAAGCTTGCGGCCCTGCATCCTTTGCCCTTGAAACATGTGGTATCTGTTTTTCTGGTGTTCATTCCATAGAAATCAACATTTTCATTTTAGTGCACCTTTTCTCGCAGAAAGTTTATTCATTTTTGTGCAGAAATTGCTGGCATGGCATAAATGTATAATGATGTTGTTTTTCATTATAGAAAATCTATTCCAGCCGGTGAAGCAGAGCCAATATCAAAATCTTATCTGAAACCGTATTGTGGGTGCATGATGGACAGTGATAACGAGTTTACATTTTGTCAGGTAAGATAAATACTTTTTCTAGGCAGCATAATTATACATATATCATTTTCTTTTGTGTTTTGAAATGTATTATTCGGATATACACTTTGCCATGCAAATTTGCTTGATTTTGTAACCTTGCCTTGCATATTTCTTTCTAAATTTGATTGATGTTATGATTATATAGGTCAGTTCCCCTGTTAATCAGGATGGCCATGAAACCAATAAGCTTGCTTCAGATGTGGGTGCTATTACCCTAAAAGAAGAATCCTCCAATACAAGTGGGAGTCATGGTGAGAATAGTGGTGCCCTACGGATGAATGGGTTACCAGATAATTCCGACTCTAAGAAGCAGGCTTCAGTTGGTTCTTTGTCTTACAGTGTAATTGACACAACACCATCAAATCAGGGACAGGTATTGAATACAAAAGCCGTATCAAGTGATGCTGAGAATTCACTTCAGAAGTCATCAAAACAAAGAAAGCCAATGGAAAAGCCAAAATCTCGGGTCAAAGTTCCTTTTGAGAAGGGCTATAGCCAAATGGACTGGCTAAAGCTTACTCGAACACATCCTGACCTTGCAGGTTCTCTTATTGAAAATTTTGTAATGCAATTATTCATTTAGTTGTTTTGGAAAGGTTCTGAAAATTAGTTAGTGCCTTGTTAGAGAATAATTTCAAAGAAACATCTATAATTGTCCATTATAGTTGAAACTATCCCCATATATTTTACTCTCACTATTTTCATTTTGTTGACACCCCATGTTCTGTCTCTTCAACTACTTAGACACCAATTTAACTAAGTACGTGATGTCAATGGGTTGGAAGAAAACTAACTGCTACGGGCATTATAACATTTAGTATTTCCATGACTTGACTCCAATTTTGGGTTTTCAAAGTGTTTGTTTTAAATATTCACTCAGTTTCTTGTGATGAGACTGGAGGGTTAAGCGAGAAAGCCTGTTAATTATTCCCAAACATTTTTTTTTGTTTAATTTATTGCCCACTTAAGTGATTGTGTGGCTACAATTCCTTACTAGAATTCCTTCTGTCTGTCCAAAGAAGATTGATTGAGCTACATGTGGCTTTTGCTTGAGCAGGCAGGAACACCTGTATTCCTAATCCTTCATTTTATATGACATTTCGAAGATGTTATTGACCAACAGCTTATATGTATAATAATATAATTCGCCTAAAAGTTTTTAGGTACCAGCACTCAATTCTGTTCCGATGAATGAATTCTCTGCAAGTCTTGACAGAGTTTTGGAAGTAATGTTTTAATCGAAGCCTTCTGATTCCAGGTTTGAATGGACAATCAAACAGGAGACTTATTTCTATGGATGAAGTTAGACAACACCAAACAGAAGGGCAAATGTGGACCGTTTTAAAAGGGCGTGTTTACAATATATTCCCATATATGAAGTTTCATCCTGGTGGTATGCTTATTAGCTCAGTTTGCAAGTTTTGGGTTATGCTTTTTGAATTCTTATTACTAAGTTCATGAAAATGAACTCTTCTCAAGAAGAGTTAGTTTTATTTACTTGAGAAAAAAGATTATATTAACAAAAATTTATCTCTCAGGTGTTGATATGCTGATGAAGGCAGTTGGAAAAGATTGTACCTCTCTCTTCAGTATCCTTTTTGCAGTTTTTTCAATGTGAAGTAATTCAAGATTGAGCAGTATTATTATGAATCTATGTTTATATCATTTTGGTGGATTGCTGAGTCAAATTTTAAGCTTCCTCTGTAACCATCATCTAATCTTGATAAATGCTTCTTGCTTGCCAGAGACATTGAATAGCATGCTGAAAATTTTACTCCTGAGTTTAATCAACATATTACTTTGCAATTTTATTTTTTTGAGGAATTCGAGTTTGGGAAGCATAATTGCATTAAATAATCCAAAATCATGTGCAGCTGGAGCAAGCACGGCTTTGAGAGACAGACTTAAGTGCTTCGGGAATCTGGCTCTATCTAGTAGCTTGATTATTCCCATCTTTCTGTTCATGCATATTCCATGTATGAAAGCCTGTAACTGAAGTCACAAGTAAACTGGGCTTGCTCATCTTTTCATGATTACCTTCTCTTGATACTTTTATATCGTGCACTGTTTCTGCTCTTTAATGACTGCTCACCTCTTTATCCTTAATCATTTAATCCAGATAAATATCATGCTTGGGTTAATGCAGAATTCTTATTGGAGAAATGCCTTGTGGGTACTTTAGATGATAGTCAGTGAAGAAAGGAGAGTTGTGTACTAATAATGAATCGTCACATTTCATGAAATAGCATATATAAACTTGCCTTGGCTCCATTGTACGTCTTTATATACAACGAGGAATAAATTTTTCACTTGCTTATTTTTATAGAATCCCTACGGGAATCTTTTGTACAATTACAGACGAGCACTGTTAAGTTGTAAACTGGGATATTCTATTGGCATTTAATATGTGATTGTTGAATCTGTTCAGTTTAAAGAACTTGTAACATTCTGGTATTGATGAATTTATATCACTAATTCTGCAAGTTAAAGTTGTTGCTCCGCCTCTGTTAAGCCGTTCAGAATATGTTCGACTCCTTGACATATTTGATTACATGTTAGACCCCAAAAAAAAAAAAAAAAGCACTTGAGAATTTCAGCCCAAAAGACAAATTGTAATGTGAAAAGCTTGCAAAATGCCTTTTATATTCCTTAAATGAGGTCTCAGGGAAAGAAGATAATTACCAGTGAGTCGTGATGATAAGAAAATAGTTGTCATCTATTATTCTGTAACTTGTTATTGCCGGTTGTTCTGTTATTACTGGATTTTTTAATAATTATGTTCCTTATTTGGAACTTCATTACAATTTCTCCTATGCTTAAAGTTTATTTTTGCTCTAAATGTTTATTTTGTGTCAATTTCATCATATATGTTTGCGAGAATTCTCCACGTCTTCCTAAATGCTAGTAGCATCTTATTGCTCAACAGAGTTAGCTGACCTGTAAAATACATGGCCTTGCAAATTCAACCACCCTGGTTGGTCCATTTAGGAATGCTACGAACAACGAGCTCTAGTTAGGAAGCAAGTCTCAACCAGGTTAGGTTAGGAATTGAAGAATTGAACTAATGGCGTTCACCTTTTACTGGGGTGATCACGTTAGGTTGTTTAATAATTATGGAGGTGTGGTATGCACGTAAGCATCTTCTAATAATTGTTTGGAGATGTATACATCTAATTCTGTTCATGTAATTGAATACTGATAGCTAGTAGGAGGATATTAAGAGCTTTTGCAAATGTGCAAGACAAAGTTGACCCTGGCTTCAAACTTTCGGGGTGAAAAACTAGTTTTGTCTTTGAAATTTTTATAGCTTGTGGCTCTTTCAGATAGATAATGTTTTGGCCGTTGATGCTGGCAAGTTATAACCTCAATTTCGAAAGGCATGACCTTGCATGCGTTGAATTTTGTAGTTTAAGGGCATTTGTTGGATTGAGGATAATGGAGAAAAAGGTTTTATTTGGAGTTTTTTTTTTCGTTTTAATTCAAATCATACCGTAACCAACCACCCCAAAAAAAAAGGGGGGGGGGGAATTCGTCAATTTAAACATACTGATTTTAATCTACAGCTATGAAAATACCATCAATTACCAAAGGACAGAGAACATTGTACACTATGCATATCTAACCTGATCAACCTCTTACATTATAGAGGAAGATCAATCAAATGAGTATAAGGATTGTCGAGACTATGAGCTTCTCTAACCAACCAATTCATATATTCATTAATTTCTCTATATGTGTGGCTTAGCTAGGTGTTCCAATTTTCAGCCTGATGTTCAATCCTTTTTTTGCGCCAAATGGTGTTCAAATTTAAACTACTTTCAAATGCACCAACCTTATTTAAGTCCTTTAGAAAAATATTGAAATGATGTTCTAATTTAAGCTACTTTTAAATGCATCAACCTTATTTAAGTCCTTTAGAAAAATATTGAAGTCTTATGGGAAATAGAGAAGGGATGATCATGTTACTACATCCAATACTTAATATAATAGCTAGTTAATTAATATGTATAAATTAAGAAAATTAAATATATTAGTTAATTATAGTAATATGATATGATTTTTGTAAAATACTCTTCTATAACATTAGTATTTTATATAAGTTTTTTTGGGTGATATATTATATATAAGTTTATGAATTAGTTAAATCAGTTTTCCAAATAAAATAATAAACACGAAAAATCAAGTGAATTAAGATTTTATATTTAGAACTAAATTTAATTTCTAATTATATCTTATACTACCTCCGGTCCTAATTATAAGAGCCAGTTGACTAATTTGAGGAGATTAAGAAAGTAAATTGAGTTAATTAAATGTATTGACTGGAACTATTATTGTTAGAAGAGCTACTTTGAAAAATATATATATAAATATGAGAGATAAAGTGGACTAGGGTCTTACAGTTAGAACCAAAATAAAAGTCAAACAGAGTCTTATATTAAGGACAGGAGGTAGTATTAAATACTACCTCCGGTCTTTAATATAAGACCTCGTTTGACTTTTAGTTTGGTCCTAATTATAAGACCCCAATCCATTTTGTCTCTCATATTTATGCATTTTTTTCCCAGATAGTCCTTCTAATAATGATAGTTCTAGCCAATACACTTAATTAGCAAAGATATTTTAGTAATGACAACACTTATTTATTACAAATAACTAACTTAACTTACTTCTTTAATCTCCTCAAATTAGTTAACTGGGTCTTATAATTAGGACCGGAGGTAGTATCAAAAGAAGTAGGGTACATTTTAATATTCTTCACATCACATACCTCATGAATATTTATAGCCAGGTTGCCAAAAAATATACGCGACTAAGACAACTAAGATGGAGACATCGCCTTTACAAGCACTTAGAAAGCTGAGGGCGTGTTGGCATGATTGTTCAGTGATCCAAACTAACTTCTCAGCTGAAAGCAAAAACCAAAAAAAAAAAAAAAAAAAAAATCAAAAGAACGAGATTTTGGTTTTGAAATGCCAAAACCGTCTTAAGATTGTACTGATTTGATCCTTAATATAGGACTTAATTGTTAAGTTAATTTTTCATATTTATAAATTTTTTCTAAATCACCTTTATGGATACTCTTTCAACTATAATTAAGTAAGTGAAGGAGAAAGAATACTAAGAAAGATTATTATGGTGTTTTAGGAAAAACATATTATATTTCTTATAATTAACTAACTTATCTAATTTTCTTAATTTAATCAAATTAGTTAAAAAGATCTTATATTAAGTAGTGAAAGAGTATCATAAATAGGTGGTTAAATCATTATTGAAGTTAAAGGAGAAAAAACTGCTGTCACTCTTCGATATAAGAATTAATTGAAAGGTTGAATTTGATTTTAAACACAAAAGCTCAACTTATTTTATCTTACAAATTTATAATTTTTTTTGAAAATATTTTTATTAATTATAAGAAATTTTCATTAAAGAATAGGTACAATACACATGATTAAATATAACAGCTTAAGAAAGTCAAAATATATTTATTACAAATAAGCAGTTTAATTAATTTTTTTTATCTCTCCAAATTAGTTATCTAGCTTTTACATTAAGAACTGGATATCCAAGTGGTTTAAGATATCTGATTATTGAAACTTTCTTTAAAAAAAAAAGAAAGAAACTAAACAGACCACGATTGCTCTCGAAGTAGTTCAGTGTACAACACATTGTCACAAATCAGGATTCTCAAACTCATTCATGTTGTCTTGCTTATTTCCTGCCTCGTAACATGCTAGAACTGCATCCACCTGTGACTGTCTGGTCCAAAAAATCTGGTCTTGTCCCCACTCGAGTTTGCAGATAACTTTGTATTGATCCAATCTTATCTCTTCGTAACAAAATACCCCTTTTCCATGGATCTACTCCTATAAGTTCACATGGGCAATCCCACTAGTTCTATAATGTTCTGTACCATTTTTTTTTCCTCTCAATTCTTGTTAGATTGTCTCATGTTTACAAATCCGGACAAAGCCATGTTGCTCACCTATGATGAATGGTACAACTTTCTATAGATTTTATATTATTATTCATTAATTAAACATATTTTCCTTCGTTAATCTCACATGCCATACAAGGCAAGAAACGTCACAGAAGAGACAAATCTTGGCAGATCCCAATGCTTCATCAAGCACATGATTGGTTACAGGGTTGCATTTACAGAGAGGTCTCTTGCTTCGTTAGCTGAGTAATGCAGGCATGATCTTGCTTGAGCTTGATGTCGGGAACTGCATGATTGAATTGAAGATAAGTGGGACCACTGTCTCCATGCTTCTTTCTTGTTGCTATTTAAAAGAAGTACGGGGATAAAACTCAATTGGAGTCTTCATATTGCCTTCTTCTTAATATAAGAGCTAGATAATGAATTTAAAAAAATTAAGAAAATTAGTTAAGCTAGGTAACATTAACAAATATGTGTCGATGTTCCTAAACTTTTTTTTTTTAATCATATGTATTGAGACTATCCTTTAATGGGAACCTTTATAATCAATAGAGATATTTTAGAGAAAAGATTATAAATTTGAGAGACAAAGTAAATTAAGATCTTATATTCAAAATCAAATCTAATTTTCAACTAACTTATATATTGAGAACAAGAAGTAGTATTATATAAAATCTCTAACAGGTCATACTCTTCATAAATTAAGAATAATATAGCTCATTTCGACACACAAGATTTATACCCATTTCTGTTAAAACTTGTTTAAAGAAACTATCGATTTGTTAGCGACACTAAGCTTGTTCTTTGAGGGTGAGCATAGAACAGAGGTAAAGGTTGTTACCATGTGACTTGGGCTTCACGGATTTAAATCTTGAAAACAAACCCTTCGTTTTCAAGGGTAAAACGGTGTGTATCTATTACTCCATAAACCCCACATGATAGAAACCTCATGCACTAGTTACTATCTCCGGTCCTTAATATAAGACTCTGTTTGACTTTTATTTTGGTTCTAAATATAAGACCTCAATCCACTTTGTCTCTCATATTTATACATTTTTTTGCCAAAGTAGCCCTTCTAATAATGATAGTTCTAATCAATACACTTGATTAGCAATGATATTTAAGTAAAGACAACACCTATTTAAGACAAATAACTAATTCCATTTACTTCCTTAATCTCCTCAAATTAGTCAACTAGCTCTTATAATTAGGACCGGAGGTAGTACTAAAAAAAACTGAGCTTGCCTTTTGAAGTATTTTGGGGAAGTACATTGTTGATCTCATGACTATGATCCGAATCAAATAAGTGTGATTTTAATCTAGATTTTAATTGAGTCAATTATCATTATTAAAGTCGAACCTAACAAGTAGGGGGAAAAAAAATCAAAATCTAGATCATATAAATCAAACAATAATTTCAATTGGCAAAAAAAAAAAGGAGGAAAAAACCACTTGACATGATCCTTTTGTGTATAGAAGCTCACACGCATATGATATAGCCGGTTATA